TCTGAAGTCAACACAGTGATGAAAGCCATCCTAAAATACTCCATTCAGCTGGAGCGGCCTTGAAAGTACTGCAGTTCTTTTGTGCTCTACTTTTCTTATTAAAAACCTGCTCCAGCAATAACATGTTGATCCGTGTCTGACTGAAGTTACAAAAATTACCCTCAAAATCTACACAGAAATGAGACACAGCATTTGGCTTGTGTGACGGCTGCTTTCTCCTCTGTTGTTGGCTCCAACCGTACCTGGGAATGAAAGGTTTCAGTGCATGTAAGTAATGAACGTTCTCTGTCCTTAGCTCGTGCTGACTGTGGGTCTGCTGGCTGTGGTCGTCTATCTCTACACCGTGGTGGCCTTCAACTTCTTCAGAAAGTTCTACAATAAGAGCGAGGATGAAGATGAACCCGACATGAAGTGTGATGATATGATGACTGTATGTCTGAGCACCTCTGACATTTATTCATTTATGAAAAATGGTAACTCCTTTTTGTAGCAGTAGAAAAAAACTAGCCAACCCTCAGCAAGGGCAAATGTTTGGAGCTGAAAAGCATCCCTGAGGCTTTTATTCTGAGTGGCTTGGCCTGCGAGCCTTGATTAGTGTATGAAGGCAGGAGGTGACTAATGGGCTGAGTAGAAAGTCTTTTTTTATCAGTGAACTTTCAAATATTTCTGGATAATGTTTTCAAAATGAATCTTTTTGAAAATATTCACTGCCTTCAAACAGGAGACAGTTTTATTTACAAGGACTTGTAAAATGTATTTTCTCCCTTTTGAAGTAACAGCTTTGAGAGGCTCAAAGTCAAAGTACAGTTACTCTTCTTAACCTTTGACTCAACATATTCTTTACTTCTAAGGACTTTTCTAGCTAATAAATAATGCACAATCTCCAGCTGCCACTAACTCAGTCTGCTGCAGCAACCCAGACTCAATGTAGTTTTTTAGTCTGAAATGAAGAGTGAAGCGTCCATTTTACCGATGCTCCCTTTAAAGCACTTTCCTCCTTTTCTTCAGTGCTATTTGTTCCACATGTACGTGGGTGTGAGAGCTGGAGGAGGCATTGGAGATGAGTTGGAGGACCCAGCTGGAGATCCCTATGAACTCTACCGCATCCTGTTTGACATCACCTTCTTCTTCTTCGTCATTGTCATCCTGCTGGCCATCATTCAGGGTAAAGAAAGTTACATTTCTCATATCATCCTGAAGCCTACAGCACACATCTTTGTTTCCTTCTCATGCTTCTTACTGTGTGTACTCCAAGTTGTGTTAGAAAACACCACTGGCTCAGTGCTCCTCTGACAGACTGTTGCAACTTCCTTCAGGTTTGATCATTGATGCCTTCGGTGAGCTGAGAGACCAGCAGGAGCAGGTGAACGAGGACATGGCGGTAAGACTCAGCTAGAGCAGGATATGAGGTTGGCGACAGGGTTCCCAGGTCTACTGCCAATGTACCGTATGCTGAACACCTAACCTGCTCCGGAGAAGCTTATGTATGAGAGTATAAAAACACCTCGTGCTGACCAGTCAGTTCTCTTTGAATTGGCATTACCATTACTGGAATATCCAACAGAGTGCACAGATGGTGCACAGATAGTGAGAGTTTCACTGAGGACACCAAAGGGTTATGAAAGCTGCAAACAGTTTCAAAGCCATTTCATTGTTCAGTAGGCCTTTGTTTAATCATATAATCAGAACACATAGGCTGACAAAGTATCTACACCCAGTTGACTTTTTAAGATTTGCAGTAAGCCTTCTTACTGGTTGGAATCTTTTTTCTTTTTTTGCTTCATTATTTAATTCTTCATTTATATTTTTGGTAAGCAGTGGAAAGGGCCTACATCTTTAGTTTCTTTATACAATCTTATGTTGTGTAATGATAATTCAATCAAATATTGAATAATAAATTTAAATCTAATCAAAGACAATTCACAACTGTAACTGTAGTCAGATTGTGTCTTATTTAAGGCAAATATATTGATATTGCCTTCCTGTATGGTGTTGGTTGCAGCAGCATAATTCTACAACTGTGTTTAGCCCTCTATTTATTTTTTTTATTTTTTTTTAAACATCTCCATGTTTGTTATGGATTAAAGCGTGTTCTACTTGTGAGGAATATGCAGCTTTAGTCCTGTCAGTCTGTGATTGGTCATCTGGTGCCAACGCCGCCTTTCATGTGAAACCCTTGGTCGACTTAATTAGCTGATAACCAGCTTCATGTGACCGCTTAGCATGACTGCAATTGTTATGTTTAGTGAGGACAGATAACAAAAAGATATCCTGGCTATGTTGAACTTGCTGTAGGCTTCATGACCTGTGTGGATGATTAAAAACATCACCACAACAATCACATGTTGATGCAAACCAGAGAAACACACAGAATGGAATCATTGCTTCAGTGGACCATGTAAAGCCTTGTATTAATCTCCTGATTTTGGAGAAACATACCAAAATTCAACTGCAGCTTCATAAATGTGAATGTGTGTAGCTTTCTTAGTTCTCTAAATAGTGAACTGAATACCTTTTGTGTGTTGCATTCCACATTTGAAGACGTCACTTTGGGTTCTGGGACATCGGTCGCCACTCTACAGACTAAATGACTGATCAGCAGTAATCAGCAGATGATCAGCTCTCATCTCCTCTCATTCTTCTTTCAGACCAAATGCTTCATTTGTGGCATTGGAAATGACTACTTTGACCGGACACCTCACGGGTTTGAAACCCACACCTTACAAGAGCACAACCTCGCCAACTACCTGTAAGTGCAGAGAAAGAAAAAAGAAATCATTCTGATTGACAGTGTTTTGCAACAGTTTTTCCAACACTCCCGTCCTCCTGTGTACAGGTTCTTCCTGATGTACCTTATTAACAAGGATGAAACTGAACACACCGGTCAGGTAGGTGACAGAACACAGCTGTGTGGTATAAAAAGTATTGTATATTACAAAGTATAATCTGTTGTCTGTGACAAGTCTAAAGAAAACAAAGGAAAAACAGGAAGGTTACAGACTTCAGTAGGCTTTACTTATGCAACATATCAAGTGGGTTGAAATGTTGCACAAGTGCAGCTTAGCAGGAGGAAGAAGCAACGCGTGGGTTGGCTTTGACTTTTTTGATATTAAGTTATTATTGTTGTGTACCTGAGATTCCACTTGTTTCTTATTTGATCCACATACACTGTTCTTATGTCACTAATTTAGCACAAAGAAAAGAAAACCTGCACTTCTTGTATTTCTTCCACACTACAAAGAGCCAAACTCAGCTGCTAGTGTAATAGAGTAACATATAAAAAGAAGACACAAGCAGAGACATGAGACTGGCATGCTCCATTTGAGCCATGAACAAGGTTTTCTATTGGGATTCCAAGAGAGCGTGAGTACAACATGAAATGGGAGTTCTGCACGGTGAAATTAGCACTGTGCTAGGTGAGCATCTACCCTGCATCATTTAATGTCCTTCAAGTCAATATCCATAAGGACACCATTTATCAGAAACTGTGAAACATTAGAAATCCTCAGATTTTCAACTCTCTGATGGCTCTGACTTTTACCATCTGTGACCTGCTATTCTGCCAGAAAGCCTAACCAAGCATAGGCTTAACATTGTGACATTTCTTAAAAATCCCTTTATTCTACAAGTCTCATTTAAAAAATATTAACTAACCAGATCCTGTAAAAAAAAAAACTAAAAATTCTGCATTCCTCTGTGTACTTGAGAAACGACTGACTCAGCAGCAACCGGAAGTCACATGACCAAAAACTAGTATAGGTATGGAGGAAAATTAAACTACATCGTGGTAAAATATCTACAGTAAATATGTTTAAGTACACTAAATATGTGTGAGAGTGAACTTCTAAAACTTGATTTAAAAAAACAAAAAACTAAACACTATCTGCAGGGTTTGATCCAATCAGGGCTGAGTGAGAAACTGCTAATGAAGCGAGCCTCTAAAGCTTTTCCTCCCCCCCCCTGCAGGAGTCATACGTGTGGAAGATGTACCAGGAGAGATGCTGGGACTTCTTCCCTACCGGAGACTGCTTCCGTAAGCAATACGAGGACCAGTTGGGTTAGAGCGGGCAGCCTCGTCGGGTGCCCTCGACACCCCCTCTCTACTTTCCTTCTATCTGAAAGAGACACTGAACTTGACTTCACCCTGTTAACAGAAGCTCAACACACGCTGTCACGGTGTCAAAACAAAAAAAAAGTGAAGAAGACAACAATTCTGACAAATACAAACAGATACAAAACATAACGATTCTAACACTATCGACTGATGATTGGACGTTTTGGGTTTGTGCATTCAAGTCCTCGTTACTGAAAATAGTCACCTGCCACGACGCCTCTTTTATGCAAATTCTTGTTTTGATTCTGATTCACATTGCCTTTTCACTTGCTTAACCCCAACTTCTTGCACAATTTGCTGTGTGTAGACATGTGATAATTGTGAAGGGTTACAGCATGACAACTGAATGTCTGAATATGCACAATTTCTAGATTAACGCCAGGATGTTAGTGTCACTTACTACCAAACCAACTGAATGGATGTGTGCTGCTAGTATTGATCACTATTGATCCAGTTAACATCAAATGAAATGTGTGAGACCTGATCTGCCTTTCAAAGCTGGTTCAAATCTGTCCGATGAAATGAAGATGGTTCTTCCAGGACCAGAGACGACTCACTTTAGGTGTTTATCAAGTGCCGACGTGCCTTACTATAAACTATGCAAAAGAGAGAGAGAGAAAAAAAAAAAAAAGAATCATTTTTGTCCCTCCTGACACAAGCAGTGCTCTAGTTCTGGATTAGTTATAAGCAGATTTAGGTCAAGCTAGTTTTGTGGCTTTTACATTTTAAAAAAAAAGAGAAACATTTGTTGTATAAAATCTAGATGATCCTTGTGTAAATGTTGCTTAGTTTGGTTTTGTTCCTACACTGTGGTGTCCTGCCCGCCTGCACTTCTTTCCACAGTAGAAGAACCCCACAACAGAGAAGAATTTAAAAAAAACAAAACTTGTTTCAAGGATTTATTAACGACAAAATGGTTAATTGCTATTGGATGGCCATTTGTATGTATGTAGTAGCTTTGGTAAACCGCATTTCTTTTGATGAGGGGGAGGAAATGAATAAAGTAATTGACGCAATAAACCAAACGTGTCACCTGCGACCTGTTTCAGTGTCTGTCCGTCCGTGTCGCAGCGAAGACCCTTCTGACGGCGACACTCCAGCAGCGTGCAACCTTAACAATATCACAAGAACAGAGAGTTCTTTGTCTGCGATGAGAAGCACTGAGGGAACCTTTTCACGCATTCTCACAAACGTTGGAGACATACTGTCCTGTGTCTACACCTCCACAACACACTGTTTCTCTTTCAGGCCTGGAAACTACAAAAAGAAAACAAAGTCTGTGCAGCATGTAGACGTTCTAGCTGGATTTCAGGCTGATGGGCTGTCCTATGTGTTGAATGAACTGTGTTCCTGGTGGTCAGGAGATCATGCTGTCCAGCCAGTCCTCCAGGTCCTCCTCTGTCATCTCCTGTTTGACGGACGCAGGCTTGGAAGGTGTGATGCCTTCCTCTTTGTCTTTCACCTCCTCGTCCTCCTTCATCTTCTCTTCTATCACCACCTTCACTTCCTCACACTCTGCAGGTTAAAGGAACACATCATTTTCCCACTTCATGCGAGGTCATCTGCAACTTTTTAATCAAACTTGAAGCATCTTTGGTGTAATTAAAGCAAAGGTTTGGTGCTTTGGAAACAAATTTATATTTCATTGCACATAGAGTTCGGTCACAAGATACCACTGTCATATATGCTTTGCTCCAAGACTAGAAACAGGGAGCCAGGGTGGTAGAGCGAGTTGTACAATGATTGCAATGTTGATGCTTCAATCTCCGGCCCCCTCCGCATGTTCAAGTGTCCTTGGGCAAGACACTGAACCTGAAGTTGCTCCAAATGGCAGGCAGCACCTTGCATGGCAGCTCTGTCGCCATTGGTGTGTGAATGGGTGAATGAGAAACACATTGTAAAGTGCTTTGTGTACCACTAAGGTAGAAAGGTTCTATATAAATGCAAACCATTTATCATTTGGCTAGCAGGCTCTGTCCAAAGCTAAATCTCTATAGCAAAAAAAAAAAAAGCATGTTATGTTACAAACCAAAGTGAACACAATTTGCTGTTTTATGGGGAGTTATGTGCCAGAAGATTCTTTGGACGTGGGCAGTTGCTAGGCAACAGTACATAAGACTTCTTGAAAATGGCAACTCCTTGATTTTATTCATTACTTTTTACATGGATTACACACAAAAAAAGTGACTTTTAAGGTGCTGGTAGGCAGATTTTGTTGCCTCAGGAAAGAATCAGACATTCTGTCTTTATGCTAAGCTAACAGCTGCTCACTGAAGCAGCAGACTCAACAATGATATCAACCTTCTCTTTCAACTGTCTCCATCCTTTAAGCTGGGGGAGACTACATTATCCAACCCACAAAGAGCTCACCATCGTGAATATACTCGCCTTTCTCTGGAACAGCAGTCTCCTCATCTGCACCACCTGAGACTGGTTTCTGTAAACTGAGCAGTTGGTCCAGCTCTTCATCATCACCATCATCCAGAGGAGGCTGAGCAGCAACGGAGGAAACCTGCAAGTCTGAGGCCAGCGCTGGGTTTGCAGCCGCAGGGACTTTGTTCTTGGTGCTGAGGCTTTTAAAAGCTGCAGACGGAGGAGTGAACGTGGACGTTTTTGGCATCTCTTGTTTAGGTGCGAGGGTCATAGCAGGCAGCTCCACCGGTGTCGAGACCTGCAGCATCAGGAGAGTGGAAGAGATGAGTTGGTGGGAGGAATATGTTGAAGGCAAAGGCAGCTTCAAAGAAACGTTTTAGTCTAGTTAGTGAAAGATTATCATCCCAATATATTGATCTATTGGCTGGAAAGAGTACAGGCACACATGTATGAATAAAAAGAACACGTTCATTCAGCAGAATACGGTTCATTGATGTGGGGTAACAACATTCAGACATTTCACTCATTCTTCTTCATACTAAACACTTCTTTGTTTTTATTTTTTTTTACCACCAGAACAGGCAGTGGTACCAAAAGAAACATCCCCATTCATCCAATCTCACTTTAACACCCTGAAAAATAAGATGATAACACTGTTGAAAAATGCACGTCGCCTCCGTTTCAGGTCATTCATTTCACTCTAGGTGACATTCACACATTTTGTGTGAGTATGAAAGAGGAAGCAGGGGCTTGACATAGTTATTCACTAAGGCCAGACTTAAAAGCAGTGGATAAAAGAGGATTTTTCACACACAGAAAAAAAAAAGGATGATGGCGGCGAGTTGTTGGAGGAGGAGGGGGAGGAAGAGTTATTTCCTGTTGGATAAGTTCTCATCAGACCAAACATGGACAGAGCTTTCAGTTTATTTGAATCAGCAGCACAGACGGCAGATTTCCTCTGATTATTCATCTCTTTGGGGGTTTTTTGTGTTATGGAAGTTTTTTTTATTCGTCTCACCTGCACCTGCACCCAAATGACTACTAAATAAACGTGTTATTAAAAATTAAAGTGAGTATTAATACCCTAAAAGAGAAACTCGTCTCCCTAAATCTAAAGCTCTGGTCTAGCTCGGTGGTTTCTGTCACAAGGTGCACCTTTACATGTAAAAACATCATAAGTAAGACTAATTCAAAGTCAGATAGTTCAAACTAGCTATCCTACACTCACTGTGATATTTATGTGGAATGTACCAAGCATGAAAAGAAAGGTGGGTGACCTTACTTTTTGATAGACAACAGTGTATCACTCTTTATATTCATTTTACTCTGAAATAACCAACTCCAGTAATAAGATCACAGGGCTGAAACATAACCTTGTACATAAATACAAACCTATTCAAGCTGGAGGTAAGTATATCTATGCAATACTTTTTTTTTTTCTAGCACTGTCATCTCACATCACTTCACATGACTTGTGTTCTCTTATTTTCATTCCTGAGTATTAGCAGAAGACCACAAAACAGTGTCACTTTCAGGTTAAAATCCTGAGAGCTGGTTTCCTGGACAAAGCAAAATTATACAGATTTTTGTTCTTAGTCTCCCTGTGTTCTTAATCTGACATTTACCTTTCCTACTCAGTCAACCCCTGACATGACAGCTGAACACAGTTAGGACTCCTGAGCGTTTTCTGCCGACCTACGACTAACCACAGCCTGCTGGACGTCAGCTCAGACTGCAGGAGATCGTACCTGAAGCAGCTCGGCCTCCAGGTTGAGCCTCTGATGTAGAGGCACTTGTTGAAGACTCTGAGCGAGGGCTGGGAGGTCCACGAACACTGGCGACATCTGGAGAACAAACAGGACAGCAGAGCGTAAAGGCAGCTGTTTGCAGATGTTGGTGTCTACTGAGTGAAACTGCAACAGTGAAGCTAACAGTAAGATTATGAAGTTGACAGATATCTGAATATAAAGCACTGAAGTACCCAAAGATAAGACAAAATCTTTTTTTTAATAACATTAAATCTTTCCTGTAAGTATCATGAGAAGCCCAGTGAAACAAGTCACTCCTTTGTACTTGAACACGAGCAGCAGAAGGAGTTCAGGAGCACTCATACAACCTGATGCTTTGTATCCACACACAAGTGCTGGTAGACTGAACAAGATAAATTCACAAACCTGCAGTTTGGATTGAGTGTGTGTTGGTGGACAAAAGTCATGCCACTAAAATGTCACTTTGACCAGGTTCATACCAAACACGCTGGACCCCATCATCATCTCACCAAAGAGTGTGCTCCCAATATCCACATGGCTTATTTTCATGTTCTTTAGCAGAGGTAATCTTACAGCTATGCGAAGAAGAGAAAGTACGGGTGTTTTTCTTGCACATTGTTGATGTCATGAACTTCAACGCGCTTGCTTATCGTTGTACTTTGTGTATGATGATAAATAAAATCAATAAAATCATTCTATTTTCAGAGCTTGATGTGCGAATAGTGCTCTGTCCATGATGTCTTTTTAGGGAGGACGACGACTGCAGCTGATCAGTGCTGCTGTGGCTGATTTGTATCACTGATTTATACCTGGTCACTAATCTACCTTTTCAGTCTTTGTAAAGCCTCTGATGTTTGAGTTCCTCTGGCAGTCATTTTTCATGTGGAGCTCTGATGCAGACATGCAGGTAGAAACAGGCCAGCGGTCCAAAACTGAGACTGTTCTGGTGTTTACGAGTCGTCTTCTAACCACGTCCATGCAGTTAGGCTGACGGGAGATCACAGGTGTACTCAGGCTAGTTTTACAGGAGAAGTGCTTGTACTTTCAATATTTAAAGAACATTTGTCTGAAAATACTGCTGTAGCTTTATTCAGTAGGATTTGAAAGCAGACTATTACTTGTATTCCCATACTGAGAAATGTAGGTACTGATCCTTTAACTTGAGAAGTTTCCCCACCACTGTTGGATGAAAATGAGCTGGCCTGTACCATGTAGAATATGTGTGTTTGTGGAAGTAGCACAATGTTTTAAACCCAAGTACATGCACACACCACAAAATGGCTCTTGGACAGTGTGGCAGAAATAAATCACCTGTGTAGCCACTTGATTACCTGAAGATACTGAGTGTATGTAAATGTTAGGACAGACTCCATGTGGCTGTACTAGTACACATGCTCACAACGAACCATGTCAGATGGCTTACACTGTTCACTACCCTCATCACAGCACGCTAACATTTATTAATTACCAGGAAACACAAAGTGCGGCTGAAGCTGTCACTAGTTCTCCATCCTCTGGGTATCACAGGTGTGGGAATCCATCCAATAGCTGATGAGCTCTTTCACTCTGGATCTAAGTGGACATTTCTGCAATCGTTGTCTCCGCTGTCTAAATGCCATCTATTTCCCAGATGTAATGTGTGCTTTAGGAATCCATAAGTCGCCAAGTGTGTGAAATCAATGAAAGACATGAACAAAATGCAGAGCGGTGGGGTCAGACATGGATTTACCTGACTGGCTGCAAATGGGTCCATCTCCCATTCCTTTTCCTCTGAAAACCGGAACTGAGTGAACGAATCTCCTGAGAAAGACACACAGAAACACAGTTTGACGTTAGAACTGCTGCTATCAATTCTCCAAACCATTTGCTTTCGTTTAAATCACAGCAACACCTTTTCTCTTCACTTTATTCACTACCTGTAAGAACAAAAACACCTCCTGGCAGAGCAGGGCTTGTGTGAGCCGAGCGAGTGGCCTTCACGCCTAACAGGTCTGAAAGGGTAAAGCGATGTTTCTCTGGAAGCCAGTCAATAGCTTTGTGTCAACTGTTGATCAGTCTGAGAGCGAACGCGGCGCTAACATGTGACGCCGCTGATGTTTTCACAACATCAACCGGCTGAGGGCTCTTGTAACTACAAAGACACTGAGGATGTATTATTAATAAGCACTGGCAGCAGCAGCGCCACACATTCAGCAGACGGACACACACACACACACACTCGGCTTTCAGAGCAGATGAACAAATGAGAAAAGTGTCCAGATGAAACCAGTGTTGTTAAGAGTGAGGCGCGGTGTACGAGGAGTCAAAACACAACATCCAGCACAACGAGGACACGGTGTCAGATGTGAAGCACCACTCCTACAACTCCTCATTTTGTGCATCTGGTTATCTCCACAATGCTGCAGGAGTGTGTCACTTTGGGTGGAATAACAGGGCGCTTGTGGATATTTTTGGATAGCGCCACAACAGGGCTATCTTTGTGCAAAATGGGAACTAAAAATTCAGAGGTAACAGTTAGCTGGTCCTTACTTTGAGATAAGAAGGAGGGGAAACATTCTAAAAGGAATGATTTCACACTTGAAAAAACAGCGATAACATTAAAACAATTACAAGACAATTTCATATCTCAGGCACAGTTCTAAAACAGTTCAGGTTTTCTATGTGGTTTATCATTCGTCCGCACATTTGGTCCTTTTTCTTCCGTGTATCCAGGATCTGGTGGTCAACGTGGCTGCATTTCAGACGTCTCTCTGCACAGCATCACTTCCATTTCCTCCTGGCAAGTCCCAAGGTGTTTACAGGCTGGATGAGATATGACATTCTGGATGAGCCAAAAAACAGGAAGGGGCCTAAGAAGACTCCTAATTGGATGCCGAACCACCTCAGCTGGCTCCTTTTGACCCAAAGGAGCAACGACCCTACTCGGAGTCCCTCCAGATGCTCCTTACCCTGTTTCTACTGAGAAAACTAATTTCTGCTGCTTGTATCCTTAACCTTGTTCTTATGTGAGGCAGGATGTAGATCAACTGGTAAATCAAGAGCTTCACTTTCCACTGGATGGGAGATGAGGGGCAACCTTGGTCCGATGCCAACACCTACCAGAGACGTGTTAGATTTGTACAGCGAATACAATCACAGCTCCCAGTTGGGTTGTAGAAGGACCAGATGACTGAATCCACACTGATGAACCTCAGATTCCGGAGGAACAACCAATCAATTATCAGAGAGCTGGAAATTGATTCTTAAAGCTATGCCGACGATACGCAGTTATACATTCCCTTCTAACCCCGTGACACCAGGCCAATTGACAAACTGTTAATTAGACTAGTGCCTGAAGAGCTGTGTGTGTTTGACTGTGTGGTTGTCACTAAACATCACAGCTACAAAACTGAGGTGCTCATCATCAGTGCCAACAAAAGGCAGACTTATTTTAGTTTTCATGTACAAAAAGCTGGTTTGGAACAAAAAGCATGACACACACAACCTTGGTGTCATCTTTGTGATTTATTCTTTGAATCGCTGGTCAGAAACACCACTAGAAATGCATTTTACCATCTAAGAAATATTGCTTATGTGCAACCTTTTCAGTCTAAGAGGGACACAGAAAGACGTATTCATGCTGTTAATGCTGGCAGACTTCATTATAGTTATGTTTTGTTCCCAAGGAAACCTTTAAGCAAACTTCAGATGGTCCAAAATGCAGCAGCACATCTCCTCACCCAAACTTAATGTAGAGAACATGATTGTCCTGTTTTAAAGTCTCTTAACTGGCTTCCTGTTCACTTTAGAAATCATTTTAAAATTCTGCTTTTTAGTTTTTAAATCTCGTGATGGACTGTAGATCCTAACTGACATGTTTGTGAAGTACAGGGTGTATGTTCCCCCTTCTTAATGTCTTCTATCTTTGCATGTTTCTCACTCTTAAATATTCCAGATCAACAAACTAATATTTAAATGTGCAGTCGGGACTTGACGTTCTGACCCTTAACAATCCGAAAACCTTGCTATCCAACAGGTTTTTAGGGAAAAACTAACGGAACCCCCAAAAAATAGGCTTAACATACCGACAGCCTTGGATTCCGACTCCGA